TTCTGTTTGAGTCTGATGGGGTGCCAAGCCCTGGCCCCAAAGTCTATTTCTGGTATTCCCTGTGGACTTCCTTGCTCTGTTCCCCTTGCTGTTCTGTTTCATGCTCTTAGTGTTTTGCCTTGGTGTGGTGGGGTCAGATTGGGTGCAGTTCCCACACTGTGTCTCCAGTGTTGTCCCCCATAACACTGTGGGTCAGTGAGGGACATCATGTCTGGTGATGGGGCTGGCCCTATGGTCCTCTCTGTGTTCTGGCTGCTCTGAGCAGGGATATCTGCCTCAAGGCCTGGTGGGCCAGGATGTGCTCCACTCTGTCTTCCTCCCCCCTCATCTGCTCCTGTGTGCTCTGATCAGACATGTCCCTCTCCCTGAGCTGTAGCTTCAGTGTTGTCCTCTGAAGTAAATTCTTCTGGGGGCAGGGGGGTGTTTTCCAGGTAGTTGGGCTTGGGGGCGGACCCTCTGAGCGTGGTCTTTTTTAAGATTTTGAGTTTTGTTCCACATTTTTCTCCCTCTCTCCCCAGGACCTTCGAATGTGATCCCCTTTAGAGCAGTCGGTGGTGGTAACCGGGCACCATCTAGTTCACAGGGGTCGCCTGATTCATAACAGTAGCAAAATGACAGTTTTGAAGTAGCAATGAAAATAATGTTATGGTTGGGGGTCCCCACTCCATGAGAAACGGTATTCAAGGGTCGCGGCATTAGGAAGGTTGAGAACCACTGATCCAGTTCCTCGGGCCTCAGGGTTGTGGAGGCTGAGAGGTTTGCATGGTCCACTCTTGCCAACTTTGATGTTCTTCACTCTTCACTCACCTTAGATGAACTAAAAAACTTTTAAGACTTCAGTTGCACTGTCTTTCAGGCTGGCTTCCTTGCCCATGGAGGCCAAGGCCAAGGGACCACATGGCTGAGAGATTAAGAACCAGAGAGAGACTTGGCTGTTGAAAGGAAAGACCAATGACTGTATTCTTTATGTTTGCTGATCCGATGTGGAGTAATCTATTCATTTCCCTCATAAAAAAAACTAAAATCACTGCCACGGAGTGGATGCTGTGGGTTTCTGAGCCTGTCACTGTTTACAGGAGTAGAAAGCCCAGTCTTTCTCCCAAGGAGCTGCTGGTGTTTCCAAACTGCTGACCATGCAGACAGTAGCCCAATGCATGACCACTACACCAACAGGAGTCCTAATAAACCCCCTTAATTGTGAGTATTGTTTGTGAGTTCTATGTGGCCGTTGCAAAGAATTGGTAAACCCAGCATAGACGTAGAGTGGCATGGGAGGAAAAGGTGGTCGTAGAATAGGGCAAGAAGGATGGAGCAGGAAGGCTTGTCTGATGCTGCCTTGTGGCAGCGGAGCAGAGACAATAGAGGATGTCAGAGATGGCCCTTCAATGCTGTTCTTCGGACATATGATAGTAAATTAT